CTCACACACACAAAGCCGTGGCAGCACATCACTCCCACCCTCATCCACCTACACTGGTTGCCAGTCAAGTCCCGCATATCCTATAAAGTCCTCCTCCTCACCTACAAGTCCCTCCATGCCCTTGCCCCCCAGTACCTATCGGACATCCTTCACCCACATGCCCCACCCCGGAACCTGCGGTCCTCAGACTCTGGCCTGCTTACCACCCCCCGCACCAAACTGCGAACCTTCGGGGAAAGAGCCTTCAGTGTGGCAGCCCCCACCCTCTGGAACGCTCTCCCTGCGGAGATTCGCAACATCCCCACACTCGACGCCTTCAAAAGGGCCCTCAAGTCCCATCTGTTTGCCAAGGCTTTCGGCCCCTAAATCGATCTGTTGTTTTGCCTGTCTGACTTTTGTTTTGTTATGTTTGTTTTTTTGCCCTATTACTTGTAAAGCAACCTTGGGTCCCTTGAAAGGTGCTATATAAATCCAAGCTATTATTATTATTATTATTGCAACTTTCGCTAACTTTTTGTTATATTCCATGGAATGCTCTTAACATCCCGATAGCAATGAATATCTTAAGTGCTTTGACAAAAAATCGATAAAACAAAGTCATCTGTGGAAGCCGTAGTACTGTAAAAAGCACGACCAATTATCTGAGCCGGCCCGGCTAAAATAACTGGATGGCCTACCTGCCTGTCAGCCTTCCATCTGTGCACAAACTTATCTCGTGCCCTCATTGGTCATGTGCGCGTTCGTGTGTGTTGGAGGAGGCGCTCTGTAAGGAAGTGGCAGGTTTCTTCCGGTTGTGTATTTTCAAATTCTTGCGCACTCCACCCCACCTTTAAATAAAATAAAATTTTTAAAAAATTAAATACTTTTTATATGTCAGATTCCTCCACGTACCACTAGCGGGAGCTGGCGTACCACCAGTGGTACGCGTACCACAGGTTGAGAACCACTGCTCTAACAGATGAAAGATCTGTCTTCATGTTGAACGCTTGGCCTGCAGGCTCTCAGTGACGCAGAGAGAAGGTGAAGGATGAGCGTAGGCAGGGAACATGATTCACAGAATAACAAATGAGAGAAGCAACTGTGTTCATCATGTTCCTCACTGCTGCTTCTGATTCTCCACATTTCCTTACGTGCTTTCTCAGTGTGCATCTGCCAGTGTGTTGGTTTCAGAATATGTCATATTTCCCAGAGTTTCCGAGCTTATAAACCATCATCCTTCTGAAGAATTTGCTGCAGAAATAAAAATAAAAAAGCAGTCCAGACAGTGTTTAAGGCCAGCAGAAAGAAAAAGTTCAGTTTTGAGAAAGTGACTTTGTAGTTTCATTCATAAGACGCAGAGAAACAGAAGCCAAGTCATTAGTAGAAGCCAGCTGACCAGAGATGTACATGATGTAAATACAACGCAATTCCAAAGTTATTAATCACAGTGCTGAGGGTTCACTTTATCTCCTGTCATGAAGCAGCACACACTGCAGTATGTCATCCGTATCAAACCTAACAAGCAGCAGGATATGAAGAATGTTTGCTGATGGCCAAATGGTTCATTTTTGATAATAATAGTATTTTAAATGGAGGCCATTATGGTAAATGAAGTCATTATGGTAACTTATGACATTCATACCTGCAGTTTATCACATATTTAAAAAATAAAACAATATGGGCTGAGGGATTAAAACATGTGTCAGTTTGGTCTGTTTGCTTTTTTTCCTTACTTAGAATATAAATACTTACTAAGTGTATGTTGAAAGACAACATATTCTTCCTACTTCCAGGTTCATATCAGTATGTAGTGTCTGTTAATGTTTAAAAAAGCTATTTATGCTTCTCATACTCCCTGTGCTGCAGCACCTCTTTTCACCCTCTGTCTGAAACCAGAGCCCAGTCTGCTCTGATTGGTTAGCTGGCCGGCTCTGTTGTGTTTGGTCAACTGCTTAGAGATGTCCCTAATCTTAGCCTATCACGTACAATGCCCTAGACCAGCGGTTCTCAAAGTGTGAGGCGCGCCTCCCCTGAGAGCTTCAGAGGGGGCGCAGCGTGACAAAAAAATTAACGAGAAAAAGACGAGTAAAGTATCACTTGCACACCTTTGGCTGTCTGTGGAGACCGAGTTCCCCCACCTCGCCAAAGAGGCTGTAAAAGTGCTCATTCCCTTCACCTCCACCCAGGGGCGGACTGACAATCTGTGTGTTCTCGAGAATCACAGAACGGCCGGTCGTCAGCGGGCCGTTGACGGCCAGCTCGGTTCGCTGACCGCCGGCACCGCCCTTAATTTTGTATGTTTTTAAACGGCATCATTTAAGTTGCGCTGACAGGCGACAGAGGTCCGTTCAGCGGGCCGTTTCCACGCAGCAAGGCTTTCCCCCCCGGTTGATAGTTCACTAGCATGCTCTACCGATTTGTGTGGGCTGGGCTGGGTGAGATTCCAGGACTGATTTTATTGTTTAATGTTCTAAGGAGGTGACGCTAGTCAGCCAATCAAATCGGTGCAGTCAGTGAGCCAGCACGATAGATTCAAACACAGAGACAAGACAAGTGGAAAGAAACAGTCGGAGTCATTTCCAAGGCGGAAGGTAGACAGCGAAAACAGAGCATTTAATGACATGTTCTCTTACTGGACCTCTTTGAAATGCAATTGAATGCCCCTGCATTATAGCAATAATAATAATAATTATGTTCTCTGAGGGGAGGCTCACCTCCCCGCAGTTTGAAAACCCCTGTCCGAGACCGATAGCCAATAGAAGAGTTAGTGTTCCATACTGATGTCACTATGTTAAGGAACTAAACAAAGGAGTCCAATGGAGGTGTGTGTGTGTGTGTGTGTGTGTGTGTGTGTGTGTGTGTGTGTGTGTGTGTGTGTGTGTGTGTGTGTGTGTGTGTGTGTGTGTGTGTGTGCACACACACACACACACACACACACACACACACACACACACCTCCATTGGNGACGGGGGAGAGAGAGATCTCGACTGGATTGGAAAGATCGAAAATACTAAAAATAATCATAGTCGCATTTTGCAGTCTTTTTGCATACAACGGAGTTGGCGAAACTAAAACTGCAATATAATGCTTGTGTAGCAATAATACATATGACATATTTTTTACATGTCTCCAGTACCGATAAAAAGACCGATAACGTCGGAGCTTAACGGTACCACGGTCTTTAATAATTCAGCGCCGGGGCCCGTTTAATACCGGGGCTCGGTACCCATCCCTAGTCCAGAGGCTTCCCCCGCCACTCCACCCAACTCACCACCAGATGGTGATCAGTTGACAACTCCGCCCCTCTCTTTACCCGAGTGTCCAAAACATAAGGCCTCAGGTCCGATGATACGATAACAAAATCGATCATGGGCCTTCTGCCTAGGGTGCTCTGGTACCACGTACACTTATGAGCATCCCTTATATTCGAACATGGTGTTTGTTATGGCCAATCCATGACTAGCACAGAAGTTCAGTAACAAACCACCAGTCCGGTTCAGATCAGGGGGGCCGTTCCTCCCAATCACGCCCCTCCAAGTGTCTCCATCCATTGCCCACATGTGCGTTGAAGTCTCCCGGCAAGACTAAGGAGTCCCCTTCAGGAGCCCCATACAGGACTATTTCCAGGGTATCCAAGAAGGCCGTATACTCTGAACTGCTGTTGGGTGCATAAGCAATGTAATTTTGCGTTTGTGTGTATTGTGTTTGTTTCCCGGGGAAAACCTGTGCTGTGACGTTAAATTACTCCGTTCTCCGCTTGTAATTATGCCGTCACAAGCTTCAAAGTTGTATTTGTCATCTGAATTTGCCGAAACAAGTTTAATATTCTGAAAGCCAAGACTTTGTTTAATTTAAATCAGATGAAAACAAACTGTAACGGACCCTGCCGTGTTATTTATGATTACTATACGCCTTACATTCATAATGTCAGCGGAGGGAGGGGGAGCGGCGCTGTGGAACAGCAGATTGCGAGTGAGAGCTGTCATCTTCCCTTTCCAAGCTTCAAACATGTATTTATCGTGTGATTTTGGAAATAAAAGTTTCATATTCTGAAAGCCAAGACTTTGTTTATTTAAAATCAAACAAAACAACCGAACCCCGAAAAACTATTTTCTTATGCAAATCCACGTTTATTTTGAAATGAGCTGTTGCGACTTCCGACTGATTTCAATAGAGCGGGTCGCATATTAATATTGAATTAGTTGAAAATAAATGATTACATTAAATATCAAGGGTCCTGTAGTGATCCCATGGTCAGGCCTACCTTAAAAAGCCAGGGCGTGAGGATTCTCAAAGGCGGGATCAGATCAGGGGGCCGGGGAGACGACTGGTTGTCCAGAGAAATGCCCAAATTATCTCTTATCTGGAAAGAAAACATACATTTTTAAAACTCTTAATAGAAAGTGTCCCATCTCAGTTAGTGATATAGTTATCAGTGTGTGTTGGTTACACACCTTGGCCAGGTTTTGCCACAGTTCACAAAGATAGTCGAAGACCTGAGCGTGGATCTCTGGGTCTTTGATTGTGTTGACGTCGCCCAGGATACCCAGCATCCGTCGCCACATTACCGTGGCAACATCTGCGTGCCATCCGGTCAGAGAGCCACCCGCCATGACGCTGCAGTCCTCGCTTGGGAACTCACTGGTTTCTATAACCGGTCAATGAAAGGATCAGTTAGTGTTGCTCAGATAAAGAAGTACATATTTGAGAGTGTTTGAGTTTTTCTTACCCAGGTCATCTGGAGTCTGCAGCATTGAGTTGTGGAGCTTCTGGTCCAGCTGTAGGTGTGAGTGTGAGTGGGAGTGTGTGTGGTCAGCGTGGTCTGCTGTCAGCGTGGCCGGGGAGGGTGTCTGGGAGCGAGAGCCCCCGAGGGAATGCATGGGAGACGCACTTTCAGAACCTGGACAAAGATTTATATATTACACACATGAGGAGAGGAAAGACACAGTTGAAAAACTGTCCAGGAGACAGAATTACTTGCTAAATTCAGGATGTACAGGCTAAAATGTAGAGCTGCTTCTAAAGTGATTGAAATGTGAATGATGGGTGTTGAAAATCTGACACTACACCTCATTGCTGGCTTTAAAAGTTCAATTTAGACATTAATCAAATCATAAAAGATATGTCATATTTTTCAGAGAAACTCCCTCTGAAGGGAAAACAGGGATTTTAGTCTTTGCAGATAGTTTACATGCACAAAAACCTATATAACACAGTACAGGAAACGGAACCCCCTCAATAAGCATAATAGGGCCCCTTTAATTTAAACAATTATATATAAATTAACATCCACGGTGTATGATATGTATGTAATGTTTAGTCTGTGGATATTAAGCTTTAAGACAAATCTCTATGAGTGAATACCAGTGACAGTGACGGTGTGGCTGAGGCTGCTGGTCTCCGAGTCGATGTGAAGTGTCGTCAAACTTGCTACTTCGTGTTCGTCCCCGACCCCGCCTCCTCCCAGGCTGTCCTGGTCCAATGAGCTTCCTCGTCCTCCTCCCCCGGATCCACCTCCTCCTCCACCAGCTTCTGAACTGTAAGTGAAGTCTACAACAAAGGACAAAGTTGATCATTATAAAGTTCTTTCTTTGGCTTGCAAGATTTTCTAATCAATGCAAATAATGGCCATATATTTAATTGTATACCCCATAACAGCAACTTACAAAGATCACATGACTTCACCTAAAAACAGCTAAGCTAAAGATGGCTAATCTTTGTTGCAATTACGTTTAGTAGTTTCATTTAGCCACTTGTTATGAGGCGCTGTTTTTAAGACAGGTAAAGCTTCTGACCTTTACGGGTGGTGTATTTACTGATGTATTTAATGTTGTAGAACACATTACATAAAAATGTGTTCACCACAGATCCAGTTTCTGGCATGTAACCAAACCTAAACCAATTCTAAATTGGAACCGGAAGTGCTAAAATGCCAACTCATTCCTGGGGTTAGGACTCATTCCCTGCACCATCTTATTTATAATACAGTCATAACTGTGGACAAATATTAGGGAGATGGGTCCAGAAGTACATGAGATAATCTGCAGACAGATCATGGACAACCAATCAGCGGAGGAAAAAACGGGTGTAGTTCCTTACTGTCAAACTTGCAGGTGGAGTACTGAAAGGCATTGAAGGAGTCTGATTGGCTGTCTGAGCTGACGACATCAGAGCCACTGGCACTCGCAGGGGACGTCCACTCTGAGGGAACGCCCGGGTCATCGATAGGCCGGTGATCGTCTGAGGCCCGAAATCCAGGACTGTGACCTGCCTCCAGGAGCTCCGGCAGGTCCCGGGGAACCTCCAGGCTTCCTGGGCTGCTGCCACGGCGACCCTGTGTTTTGAAAAGAATAAAAAGCACAGTTTTAATGTATTTCCCTGTGCTCGGCTTTAGTAAATCACACACTGTTTTTCAATCATCCGCCGTGATTGGTTGCTCTTTTTCTTTTTCTTTTATTTAAACTTGAAATCAGTGTGTGTTACTCACGGCTGTTCCTTTGGCCCTTAGTCTCTCCTGGATAAACTCATCCATGAGGTCGGAGAAGTTTGGGTTGGTGCTTCCCACGTCACTGGAGACGGGACGAGCCTTATGGACCACCTCCTCTTTGTTAGCTAGAGGCAGATATAGGATGATAGTCAAAGATGGAGGGTTCCACAATACACAAAAGCACAAAAATGATGAAAAAACGTATGAAAATAAACTTACTTCCATGATATAATCAAGTCTTATTTGCTGATGTTTGCTAAAATAATATATGTGAACCAGAATATCAGGGATAAGATGTCATTTTGAAGTCATTGCTGCTGATAATCATATTAAATTTTACAATATCCGTATAACAAATGGTATTTTTTGTCTTAAATGTAATAACCGTCCTGATGTGTATGTACTGTAGGCCTTGGAAGTAAGCCAAAAGACTGATTGTTAAATAAAAGCAACAACACAGCAGGCAAAACCACCAGAGAAGCAATGCAGGAGTTAATTCACACCATGCACGGAGAGAGATTCACCTTGTTAGGGCCGAACGGGCAGCACATCGGGAGCTACATTAGTGCAGTTATGTTGACCATGTTGTTGTTAGCTTGGTAGCAATGACAGCAGTCAGTGTGAGTGTATGAACTCAGAGCAGAGAGCATTAAACTATCACAAATGAGAAGAGCTTTAATACGATGCCTACTGAACAGACTGATGTTTAAAGCCTAAACCTGAGTCTGATCATCCAGACCTAAACACCAGGGAGTTGATCAATACATCTTAGTTATTACATCTGTACTCTGCTGCCCCCTAGCTGAGGAAAATGTCACCTTGTTGCACAGTTTCAATTCAGATTAAAGGAACCTCCACTTGCTACAGAACAAGACAGGCTGCGTTCAAACTCAATATGTACTGAAAAGTGTACTAAACATCACTCAGTGGAGAAGCTAGCCTGTTCTCAAACACAGAGGCTAGTGCAACACTTCCTTTTAGTCTTTTGAGTTGTGGCTGTGTTATTATCAAGCATTAACATTACAGTATATCCCCCTTACAAGAGTAACAGATTACATAATCAGGATACCAACAAAAAAAAAGGTAACTGTATTACCTTCCATACATTTAAATCTTGTTAATAAAATATTTTAAAAATAGAGATAACTAGCAGGATTACAATGTGGTTTTGTAATCTCATGAGCATAGATCATCCATTTTAGTGCTATGATCTGTGTAGTTGTGTGGTTGAGCTTATAGAGGACTCCAACTGTGTTCATAGAACTAGGATCAGGCATAACAGTTAGCTTGCCGAGTTTAAGAGGTTTAACACACAGCCAGACAGACAAGCAGACAGTCAGAGCACATCATATCTGCATGGAGTACCAGACTAATGTGATTGCAAAAATATACAATTCAAGTTCAATATTGATTGATTGAAAAGTCCTGTTAAATAATATTTTTCTACTTTGGCAAATTCCACACATCTGGCACAAAAATAGACAAATTATAAGCTGTTTGTAGGAAATAAGGAAGGGAAAAAGGGTCCTTGGAAACAGTAATTCCACATCAAGACAGATTTAGGTGATGAATTGCTGTGCTATCGAACCTGTGATCTTATCGACAAAATCATTTAAACCAAGCTCTGAAGCCAGAGATGAGAAAAAGCTGTAGTGAAAATGCCTTATCACGAATCAATTGTGCATTTTTCATGTTGTATAATATCTCATGGCATTTGTATTCCTAAGTGTACACCTATTCTTATGGATTCAAATTATGTGTGTATAAGTGAGGAATAATAAATATTCTCACAGGTCCAATGCTGCACTCTAGTGGCTTAAGAATGAACTGCATGTTCACATATAAACTAATGTTTGCTACTCTAAAATCATTATGCTTTTATTACTTTATAAGCGATATACTTTTTTGTTTGAGTACACGAATAAGAAAGCTCTGATGGTATATGCAACAAAAACGTTTGCGTGCTTTCTGTCACCTCTCATGTAAAGACAAGTCTGTTTTTCTATTTATCTGAAATGCTATATTTGCTAGAGACAGTCGTTTTTTTTTGTAAACTGCCATGTCCTCCCATGCAGCTGAAGAGGGGGCCGGACTCTGGGGAGGAGGGCGAAGGAGGCGCGAGGAGGCCGCATGCAACATCGAGTAGAGGGCGGAGGTGGTGGAGAAGAGGGGAATGAAGGAGAGAAGATTAAAAAAATCCCAAAGCCCTTAGAAGGAAGAGGATAGGAGGAGGAAGGGAGAGGGAGGGGGCTTCCGAGGTAAAGGAACAGGTGGGAAGGTATGGGAGTAAGGGGATGGGGGTCCTTGAGAGGAGGCAGGCTGGAGGGAGGGCTACGTTCAAGAGGAAAAACATCAACAAGGAGTTTGAATTTCAGTCCAGCAGCAAGATGATGAGTGTCAGCCAAAAAACAACAACATCATTCCATCATTACAAACCAGTTAAAAAACAGCCAAAAAGAAAAAGAGAGTTGCTGGTGTTTGTGAGTATGTCTTTCCAGAAGTTGTGTCCTTTGTGACGGTTCGTTCGTTGCAACCCTCACCTGTCGTCTTTCGACCAAAGTAGCCCAGGACGTGGGAGTACAGGTCCCTTAGCGACGCGTCACCCATGGCGGCGCGTCCCTGCCTCTGGGGCGAAGAGCCTTGGGAGGACCCCTGGCCTCGGGGCCGTGGCTTCGAAGACAAAGCGTGGACGACAGACTTATAAACGCCGCCGAGAAGAGCCCCCTGGTGGTGTCGTGAGGCGGTGCTGCCGGGCTCCTGTGAGCGTGAGCGGGAAGCTCGCGATCGCAAGGCGGAGCGTCCCAGGCGCCCGCGAACTCCTGACGACACGCCGGAGAAACCTGAGCTGCTGGACGTCAGCTCTGCGTGAGCCTCGGAGCCCGGGTTGGATCCCGAGCAGGATCCGGGGCTTTGCTTGTCCTTGTCCCCTCCAGTTCCAGTCCAGTTTTCCAGGCCCCCACTATTTGCGGCATTTCCTGACCCGCAGTTATCCGTAAAAGTCCCAGAGGCTGATTTTTCATGCACCCCTGCTTTGTGGCTACTAATCCCAGTCACAGCGCCAAACTTACCTGAGCCCCCTACTCCCTGCTTCGCCCCTGAGCCCGCTCCAGCTCCGGATCCCACCCTCTCCCCGGCAGAGTTGCTGTATGTATGGAAGTGACTGAGGCGCCGCAGCCTGGCTTTCCAGTGGGCCTCTTTACTCTCCAGGGGGTTGTGGAACTGCACAGACTCAGTAGAGGGCCGGAAGCTGACATGAACACCACCGGAGTGCCTCTTGGCGCTACTCCGGGACATTTTAGTTTTTGTCGGGTCTGAAGTTTGGGGAGTTGGATTTGATTCGGTGCTGGATCCTATGTTAGTGTCATGTTTTATTAAAATAGACCCATCCTCTTTTTTCTCTTCACCTGTTTCCCTTAATCCATCACATTTCCCTTCTGCTCCTTCTGCTTTCCCTGTACTTCCTGCTCCCTTTTTATCCGCAGCTTGTGTTTCTAAGCTAGCATTGCCCTTAGCGTTGGGTGAAGGCCACTGACACTGCAACTCCAGACACTCGTAGATGCTTCGCTCCTCGCCTTCATTCTCCTCAGTGGAGTCCACACTGCTGTGCCTCACTGATTTACTTACCTGTATGTCCTCCCTCACCACTTGTCTCACCTCTCCTGCCTGACCCGTGTATTCCATTTGTGTTCTAGCGATTCCTGTTTGAACTGTCAAAGTTACAACACTGTTTTCTACTACATGACCAGGAACTTCTCCCTCTGCTGCTCCTTCCTTTTTCTCATTTCCTTTGCTAGTGAGGTAGTCCCTAATTGAGGAGAATAAATCGTCCTCCTCAACCCCAGCCCCCATTTCCCCTTCCTCTATATCAATCTCTTTTTCAGATGACAAGGCAAATGCTGAATCCCAGTCGCTAACCCAATCTGAACTAGAACCTCTGCTTTCAGAGCCAATCTGCTGCCAGAACTGCTCGTAATCACTAGCATTTTCTGGTCCCTCTGAGGGCGACGAGACAACGCCACTGGACAAGGTTAAAGGGGAGGGGGAGTGGGTGAGGGGTTGTGAGAGTTCACGAGCTGCGTGGCTGCTGACTGCGAGTAAAGAAGAAGTTGTGGAGAGGTGTTGGTGGGGGGGGTTTTGGATCGAAGTGGGATTCGTTTCGGGGTCGTCACCTTTGACCCGCTCAGCGATGAAGGGCTCCATGACGTCAGAGGCACTGCTGCTCCTCGGGAGGGAGGAAGGGGCGGCGGCTTCCAGGTCACAAGCCACTCCCTGGAAGACCTCCGAGCAGGAAGTGGGAGGAGCCTCGTCGCTCTGGGAAGAGTGGCGCATCCGAGAGGAGCGGGTTGTCAGCGTGATCGGCGGGTCCTCGAGGTCTGGGGGTTGGAGGAAGATGGAGGAAGGGGAGTTAGGTTAGTGCAGGGCTATGAGGGAGAGGAGACATGTAAACTCAAATATACACACACACAGTTATGAAATGAACAAAGACCAAAAAAAGACACCTAAAATAAAATATTGCAAACGCATAGAGCCCAAAACATAAAGTAAATATGAATAGTATTCCTTTGATTCTTTGTGGTGGGCAGTAAATAAGCACATTTACTCAAATGATGTGCTTCTGTACTTGAGGTAATTTACTTGAGTATTTTCCATTTCCTGCTACCAATTAGTTCTACTCCACTACAATTCAGAGGTGAATATTCACTTTTTACACCGCTTAACTTACTTAACTCCACCTAACTTAAAGAGCAACTTGCAGGTTTTTTTTTTTTTACTAGATTCATGCTTAACCTTGCCCGAAAATTACAATTAAAAAAGTTAATGCAGGATTGTATATGTTTTACGAGACATAAGGGCAGGAATTCAGAGGGAAAGGAGCCGTTTTGAGCTCTGATACTAAAAACTGCTTTTTTCTTGGACTCCTTCTCTGCCCAATCCGCGGTAGTAGTTTGTAGTTGGTTTGAGCGGTTGTGATTTAGTGAGCTGGTATTTTTTCGGTAATTTTACATTGCATTTCACCATTTGTAATCATGGTGAGCTTGAGTTTGTGCAAGTTGCACAAACTCCAGCCTGTCAGGACATCGAGTCCACAGTTTCCCTAACAGGAAGCTTGCCGGTGGGCGTGTCTGAAACTCAACCAACAACCAATTACATGAATCTCCCACCCCGGACACACAAGCACGCGGTTTGATTGGCTAGAGCTTGTAATGGCATATGATTTCACTGTAGTGTATATTTCTGTATATTTTTTTTTAAATCTAGTGTATACATCATTTTCCTACACATTTATTCACTGGGGTCTCTAACCTGCAAGTTGCTCTTTAGGTTGGTTTGAATATTAAGATAGTGTATTATAAAAAAGTATAATCAACAAACAGTTAAGCATGATTATTTGGGATGCATAATTACAGGTTAGGACAAACGTTGATCCTTTGGTAAAATTACTATCCGGCAGTATTTAGACTAGGAAAAATAAGATCAACCAGATGCAACATTTAAGTTAAGTAAATGTGTTTTTGCAGCTATAATCCAACAATAAAATCTAACTTTTGCGTAATGATTTAGTGATAACACTTTACTTTACAGTACTTTTTCTCAAGATTTTGAATGCAGGGCATTTACTTTTCAAATGTGGCATTACTACTTTAAAGTAGAAAAAAGTCCTTTGTCACCTCTGGGGGTTCAACAATTTTAGAATTTCATTTGTATTATATATATGAAAAAAAAAATTATATTATCATTTGAAGATCATTTAGTCAACAGCTCTCGGTCCTTATTTGATTTAGCCTAAAAGTGAAATCAAATATAAATAGGATTCAGGGCAGCATTGTGGCTGTGATAGCAAACAATAAATCGCATTTTGGATTTGTACGGAAAATATGTTAAGCTTATTATTTTACTAGCCTGTAAAAAGATTTGCTATGTCAATTTGGCATAATTCACGAGTTAAAAAAAGGCAACTTTTAGAGAGCCTGAATGATCTTTTAGACCTCATGACAAAACGCACACAAAGAATAAGGAAAATCATAGTTAGAAAATTAATCTATCAGAAGATATGATAAAGTAAAAGCATCACCATGGCATACAAAAAAGAAGGGGATTGAATAAAATTCCATCCCAAGAATACAAGGCAAATGAAACTTCACACACATCTGTAATAGAGAACTCAATGAAGAGGGCGTAGAAACAAAGTTGATATAAATGCTTGCCATTTGAAATGTACGAAGGCAGCAGGAGTTAAAGGACAGAGGGACGTGCATGTGAGCAGGGCGGTTAGCAGGGGACAAGCAAGCAGACTGGAACACTGGCAAGTGTCATGCATCAAGTCAACAGAAACAGAGACATACACAACCTATGTTCAACTACCTATACAATCAATAATCATTTATATCACTGTCAATCAAAAACAAATGATTTACTTGTATTTTTAGGGGGGAGATAAATACAAATATGTAGTGTTGTAATATATAATTGAATGAAAAACTGGTAAGAGAAATCAGAGGGCTGTTCTATTATGAAATAATTTTTGAATGATTGGCTTTAAATCAGAATAGTTTTTTACACTTATCTGAAGCATTGACAAAGCTGCTGTCACAGAGAGTGTGTGCATTTTCTCTCTCCTGCTATCACACTGTGAGCACTCTCTGCTCCTACAGTGGTGACCCTACCCACTGTCTCACGTGACTCCTCAAGAAACTGGGTATGGTTCAGAGAAATGCCTTTCCTTAACAAGTGCAGACTATTGTCGTGGATTAGATGTGCTGTTGCTCACTTGCTAACTGCTAACAGCTTGTGCCCATTTCTTGACTGTAAATATAAAGTTCCTGTTTTCTTTGCCTTTTCAGCGGCATTTGATTCATGGTAAACATCCACGCTGTAATTACGGGAGGAAGTTTAGGTCCAACTTGGTTATGTGATTTATTTGTGATGAATTATTTTAGAAAAAACAGTTATTGCATATCTTTGACTACCAACTGCAGATGTCATTCTAAAGGGTCGGCAAGGCCATTTTTTATTCTCTCATTTGGCAAAATTCAAGTTTACCACCAAATGCTAAAACAAAAACGTACAAAATTGGGGAACTGTGTAGAAGAATGGTTAAAAACAGTATTGAGACAACAGGCCATTCAACAAAAGAACTATGATCATCCATATTTCACATGCAAACTAAACAAAGAGAGTATTTCACCAGAAAAATACATATTTGATGTCAAAGCATTAAAGAATCACACTGTAACAGGTCCAAGAGGGAAGGACTTTATGATTCCATGCAAACTGTTCCACTAATGAAACAAATACAATTGATAGAGACAAGAGGACAGACATAACGTTTCAATCTCTGACAGACGAAGAGAACGCAGCCAGGCAGGCAGTGCAAAGAGAGTGTACCTGCCAGCTGGTCAGCAAGGGGGGGTAGTAAAGGGTGGTGGCTGTGGAGGAGGACAGAAAGAGGCGGAGCCAGAGTGGGAGCACTCTTAGCACTGCGGATAAAGGCTGAGGACAGCAGAGAGTCCCCCGTAGAGCAGCTACGCAGCGCTGCAAGAGGGGGGAGAAGAGACGAGGAAGGGACAGAATAAAAGGGGGGAGAGTGTGAGACAGGAGAGGAAGCAAATGAGAGGAATGTTGAAGAGGTGAGGGGACGGAAAGTGGATGTATGGGCGAGGATGGGAATGTGAAAGGGATGACAACATGAACAGAAAATAGAGATTTAAATATAGGAAAGACGACGGTTAAAAGGGAGGAAATAGAATGACACAGGGAAAGGGAAGGATCTGGAGGGAAGACGGGGGGAGGCGTGGCAGCTCGATGCAGCTCATGTCTCCTCTTAGAACCACAATACTCCACATTTGTCAGACCCACTGTTTGCTTACAGTCAAAACAACATGATACCCTGCAAGTCTGACCAAGTCTATGAAATATACGTTAGAAGTTCAATAGTCAACTGAAGAAGTGTGACAAAACAACTGCAGCTCTGCAGGCGTGGACTCATCTCCTACAGGAGGAGTTAGACTGTTAGACATGTTAGACTTTGATGCTCAAGCAAAGAAAGAAAAGCAGCAATTCTGCAGCCCTGACAGTATGCATACCTCATGTCCATTTCAGCAGGAGGATAAAAAAGTGCAGATGTCCCATCAAATAATAATAACTTTAGAAGGAGAAGCCTTCTTAAATACACTCAGGAAAGAAGGGCCACACGTGTGCCTGAACACTTGCACAGATCAGTGCCTGAGAGCACTAATAGTCGACCAAACATTAGTTAGCTAAAAAGGTCTTAGTCAAGCAATTTTTCACTCATTTATTAGTCGAAGGAAAAGAAACGACTGAGCGTGTGCTTTGTCACGTTTGCTAGAAAACCACCCACACTTAATGTGGGAGCTACGCCTGGAACATTAAGGTATTATGTCAGGCAGGAAAACCATAGTGTGAGACCATTTGAACGTTTAAAGGGAAGGTGACAAAAATGTGCCTTCCAGGTCTAGCTGTCGGAGCACACCTTCTTAAAAGCCGGCTTCCTTTGTGAACGAGACAAAGAACTCACTTATTCTTGACAACGGTTAGTTCTTTCTCATAATATGAGAAGAGTGGCATCGTAGGAAAAATTCAAGTTTTCATTCCATGTTGAGGGCTTAATGTGAATCGGCATCTTTTTTCAAACAAGTGTATTTCATTGATTACATGTTACTTGATTTAACTGTGTCCTTGCTGCTTGTTTCGACACACATTAGGAATCTATTCAAGCGATTCTGCCGTTTGCTTTGTCGCTAAAAGCTTGTGCCACGTGACTCAAATGGGCTATGTACGTGTAAAAGCCTTCCACTTTTATGCGAAGACAAAAATGTTATTAATATTCCGATTAAACGCAAAGACTAGTCGATTAATGGCTTGAATTGACTGGTCGATGGCAGCCCTGATAGCACTTTCTTTCCTTTAATCTCCTCCGCAGAAGGTCAGAGGTGTGAGGGGAGATATACTGACCCACAGTCTTCTGGCGGACGATGCTCCGGGCCTTCTCGATGCCAGGTGACCCGGCGGTGGTGGCACTGCGCTGCCTCATGGCCGCCGCCTGCACCGGCTGGTCTCTGCTCCAGCCTTTGGAAAAGGAACGGTCCGGAATCTGCCGCTGACCCTCTGAGCCAATGCCTGGTGGAGGAGAATGGAGGGACTTCATTTCTCTATGCACACTAAGTGTTACATATTTAATGACATATTTGACATCTTTCTGTAACTATGCACTGATATTGTGTGTAAAGAAAGTGTGTAATGTGCAGATGAGATTAGTAAACATTTACTAAAATACAGTACTTTGTTACATTGCACCACTGCTCTCTAATGACTTACTGACCTTTCCCTTTATGTTTCTTCTGTTTCTGTTCACTCAGTTTGTCCAGAGGCAGCTCATTCAGGTCCACAGTGTAAAGGTTCCTGGCCAACACCTGACACACACACACACACACACACACACACACACACACACACACACACACACACACACACACACACACACACACACACACACACACACACACACTTCAATGTTACATTACTGATTCAGATGGCAGCAACAGAACTGGTGGGACTTAAACTACTGCTCAAGGCAGAAAGCTTTCTCATGCAGAGGAAGAGTGTTTTCTTAGAGTAAACATTAACCAAAGCATGTGAGGAAAAAGGGAAAAAACAATGGTCATGTCTGACTTTTTCCTCAGAGTTCTGACTTGAAACTGAATAAGAACAGAGCGCATGCCGTCACATGGGGCCGCCTGGAGACAAAGCGTTGCAGCTTCATTCCAGAGCGCCTCGCCTTTTAAAAAAGATATCTATTTGAACATTCAGAAAAGCGCTGGTGACGTCACTGTATAAATTGGTGGAGAAGCTTGTTTTTGAGACAAAAAGACAGAAAACCTGTTTGCTGTAGCATAGCAACCGGTAGTGTTGCTGCCGGTGAGTGTAAACTAAAGCTCTTTCAGACAACGTGTGAGAGCAAATATCTAATGAAATCGTATTTGTTTGATTAACTTATAACCATACCCAGTTTAGGCATACATCTGGAGGATAACATGGCCGAGACCACTGTAGTACCTTGGTGAGCGTTTCCATGGTGAGAGACCACTCAGTGACCAGCTCGTCCCAGCAGGTGAGAGAGGAGAGGACGGAGAGCAGGTCGTCCCACAGCTCTCTGCTGATGTACACGTTCAGATTCCCCTTGATCCACGCCACGATCAGCGTCTGAGCACAGGGGGGGGTGAGAGGACAGAGAGCCTCATTAGGAAAGGCTGGAATCCAGCCTTCTACTCATTGAAACTCAATACAAGTCTTCTCGGCACAATTCAACCTAATTTACCTCAAAAACATGTTTTTATTTTTGGTAAAAATATGTGTACCTGAAAGATGGGTCCGGCCAGCCGGCCTGATAGCGTGTTGTTCTTCTTGACCTGGGGCATGATGGATGGAGGCCTTTTCATCACAGACTCCGTCACCCTCAGCATAACCAGTAACGCCTGCTCCCTGTAATCAAAGAACACTATTATTTAATATAAAGTCATGTAGATCCTTTCTTTACCTTCCCAGATTTCCCCCAATAAGATCACATTTTTTAAACGTATTTTAATCAAGACATGACATTTTTGTGTTGTCGTCCCTGTACAAGATTTTTTTTTAAAAGCGCAGGAACAGGGAAACAGGGAACCACCTCCTAAAACAGCGTTAAAAATACAAATTTATAGGAAAATACAAACAATAGCTCAAATGAAATGATGATGGAAAAGCAGGAGGTACATCATCTTTCAGGTATTTCTTTTACCATGTTTTCTGGTCCATGGTCTCGTGCATGACGAGGCTGCGGTAGATGTTCAGGACACGCTTGCACATGTCCACGTGCTCCTCCAGAAGGATCTTGATGTCGTTGGCTGGCTCCAGAAGGAACACGTTGGAGGAGTGGGTGATGAATACCTGAGAAGGAGACGAGATACTACAATTAGGAAATGTAACAACTTGACACCACAACGATGAGACTGAGAATGTGTGTGTATGAAGTGATGTGTGTGTGTGTGTGTGTGTGTGTGTGTGTGTGTGTGTGTGTGTGTGTGTGTGTGTGTGTGTGTGTGTGTGTGTGTGAGGGACACACCTGTAGTGTGGTCTGAACTCCAGCATTGACGCTGTACTCCAGCAGTTCCTCATCCACTGCTCTGTTCATTCCCTGAGGGAGAAAGAAGAGAACACATTAAGATATAATGACCTGACCGTATTCAGGCATCCACACACATTCTCTGTGAAACACATTTTCTATCTTACTAAATATATCATTTGTGAACAAATTATATTTAAAATTGGGACTGCACGCCACCTCCAGTGTTAATTGAAGAAATGTAAATGTTAAATATTTCTCATTTTTGTCTTTCTCCGTCAACTAAAAGTGAGTCAATAAAAGAAGTGTAAGGTTAAATATTAAACAGTAAGCTAAATGAACTTTGAGTATAGCTGGCACAGTTTTGCAAAGTAACTTTAATCCACATTAAATCTTCATACCATTTTCTTATTTCTTTTATTTTCTTAATAGCACTTTGAATCGCCACGTGCTGAAAAGTGCTATATAAAAGTGCTATATAAATAAAATTGCCTGGCCTGGCCTGGCCTTATTGTTGTCCCCTTCCCCCTTCTCTCCCACCCCACTCTCCCAGACACACTAATACAACTCGCCTCGTCCTCCTTGTCTCCGAGCTGGGAGCCTGAGTCCAGGCTGCCAGTGGGGGGGTAGGGGCCCTCCTCCGGCTCCTTCATGAACACTGGCCTGCCCTCCATGGCGATCCACTCCTGGTAAACACGCACCACCTTACGCATCGCCGCAGCTTCACACATGGGGAGGAGGAAGGCCTATAGGTGGAGAAAGGAAGATGTGACTTAAATGTGGACATTCAATCCACCTGATCTACTGCAGCCATACGAGGACATATCTCAGAGCCCTTTGCTCAGCACTGCTTTGTAATCAGCTTTCATTTGCTATCTAATTAAATATGATACTATTTTCAATGTAACTTATTGTTATTATTTTTTTCCATCGTTTAAAACAAAAAATGTAAGGCATATGATAAGGCCTGTTTGGTTTTACTTGTATTTTTTGTAAAATATGAGTTTGTATTCTGAACGAAAAGACTTAGGACAAAAATATCTATAAGTAATAAGTGTTTACATTTCATTTAAATGTACTGCAGACACAACATTTAAGATTGAAATCATAGGACCCTCCCCACTCCCTGAAAACGTTTTTTTTCTTCTTCACCTGTCTAAAGATCTCGGTGATGAAGTTGACGTTGGTTCTAGAGGAGGTCAGGACCCTCCTCACCACCTCCATGTCCGTGAGCTGCTCTTCATCCATGGAGCAGAGCGAGGAGGAGCTGGGCTCCCTCTCCGTCAGTGTGGAGGTGTTGGAGTGGCTTTGTTCCACCTCGCACCCGGACCCCAGACCCCCGGACAGCCCCATGCTGCCCCCGCCCGGCCCAGACGAGCACCCGCTACTTTCCAGGTGGGCGTCCAATCGGAGCCGCCTCCGCCGCAGTCCTCAGAGCTGCCTGCCGAGCGAGCCGCCAGTCCTGCTGCTGCACGCTGTGGGGGGGGGGGACAACACAGCGAATTATTTAATACCCTTTTCACCGAACATCACATGGATCTTTTACATTGGCAGTTTACACATAGTCGTTTTTTCTCAACAACAAGAAGTGAAGCCTTTAAAATAATGATAATCTAATATCACTGGAGGTACAACAATAAGTCAATCTAGAGTCAAACGTGTCTGTAAATACAGGAGAGGGAGAAGCAAAGCGTGTCATCAAAGCAAAAAGGGGCAACTTTGAAGAATATAAAATATAAAATCATATTCTGGAGTTTTTAACACTTTTTTGTTAACTAGATAATTCCATATGTGTTCTTTCATAGTTTTGATGTCTTCAGTATTAATCTAAAAAGTAGAACAAAATGAAAATAAACAAAAACCATTGAATGAGAAGGTGTGTCCAAACTTTGGACTGGTACTCTATACAGGACCTTGATTCATCTGGGTCATTGGACATGTGCAGTGAACCGTTGTAGGCACATGCTTTCTATCAGAAGAGTGTGTACAATGTGTATGAACCTGTATGTTCTTGGGGACATTCTCCCCCTCTGTTCCCGGGATGTGTGTCTGCGCGTTGGGCCGCGGCTCCAGCCAGAAGGAAACCAGCCAGCGGATGAAGATGACCCGGGCCTGGAGGAAGCTCTCCTTGGTGCAGTACACCGTTTCCCCCCCGTCCTGCTCCCTGTGCACCACGCTGTAGTAAGGCTTAGGACGCATCGGGGGCACGTCTGTGGGGGGCAGGATCATCTTTAGTTATGCTGTCTATGGTTACAATAATACAACGACACTATTCAATGTGTTCCGATGCGCTGTGGATTTATAGTGTGCAGTCGTTTTGAAATATACAGGTTGTTTGAAGCGGATTTGTATGATGTACTAATTCATATTCAGTGTATTACCTGGAGTATAGGCCTATACAGATAATCAGATACAAAGGTGTAATAACAGTGAAACGTGTGTCACATGAGTATAAGAGGTATAACACGGGTGTAATATGGGAGAAACATGGTTGTAATACAGGCGTAATATCGTATCTCGGAAGATGCAGAGTGTAACTTCAATACAAATAGTAAATAATACATTTTCCAAAATATCTTCATGTGCTTAGAGATTTAGGGGGAATGAATTAAGTGTAGAATACAGTTCAAATATTTTAACAGCCAAATCTTTTGTGAGACAGTTTTTTCTTTCCAACAAGGATGGAAGTTGTTATCTATGCTCTCATCAAAGCCACCAGACTGAAAACTGTCATTTCATCTTGCAAAATAAGGGAGTTGCTGGCTTACCGCCTCATTGGGGTTAGTTACTTTGGTGTTATTCTGTGAAATGGTGAATCTGGACTAACCTTAGTCACACATTAACACAAACAAATTGTTTTATTTGAGCAGCGATAGACAATGAACCCCTTGAGTTTTACTATTTAAAATCACTGTATATTTCAATTGAGTTTGGTGGCTTTGAGGAAACTATATATATTGTTCCCCATCAAACACAAAGACTGTATTGCTGCTTCACCACAAGGTAAAGTGTTGTCAATGTTCTGAATATAGCAAACACTTTAACTGTTATTGACATTAGTGCCTCAGACAGCCCGAGTTCAAAGAAATATGAACTGTCCCTTTAAGAGCTAATGTAACTGACCCAGTATGGGGTTGTAAAGGCTGGTTTCCATGGCGAAGTTGGGAAAGATGTGAGGAAGGTAAAACTTCCTGAAGTGACCGAAGAGGAAGCTGAAGGCGCGTTCATGGTTGTCTTTGCAGCGCCACTCGAGAGACTTGGCCTGGTGGACAAACAGACACACACACACAGACAAACAAGCTTGTGTTATACAGAGACCATGACGCACACTAATCAGGGTCAAGCGGGAAGAGCACCATTGTTTTTGGAAAATAATGTTGTTATCAGTGTGTGTCTGTGTGCGTGATAGCAGCAGCAGGAAGAGGAAATACAGAAATAAAGTCAATAAGCGATGACATTAGTGTTAAAGGAGTTAGTGATACTAGTAAGAGATTAGAAGAATACTTCCCTCTACCATCAATATGATAAACATCAGTAAATAACAGACCTAATAACTGCTTTCCCTGTGTATTAGTAAGGCATTACAACATTTTCAAAGGTGTAATTGGTGTTAGTAAGGAATGATGATAATACCTGGTTTACCATGTATTTAAGTAGCGCTTCTAAAAAGTAAGCGGTGAGGTCTTCCTGGTTTTTGTCACCTGACTGGGGGGGAACCAATGGGGTGATCTCTTCTGGGGTGACCTGAGCTGTAGGAGGGAAACGGGGTCACTTTATATGTATAATACAATGAATACTGCTGAATGTAAAGTCACATGTCTCTGTGTAGAATCAATGTATGGGGATGAAAATAGTGACCAGGATATCAACAATTCTTAGGAGCAGTAACAGACTTGCACTAACTCTCTGTTAGACTCAGCGGGGGGTTGATCAGAGTGTCCAGGGTGCGTGGGGTCCCGTGACAGAGTGGAGCCGGGAAGCCAGGAATCAAACAGGCGAACATGCAGAGCTGCTCCCGCTCGGCATGACTCTGCAGCGCCTGCATCCACAGCAGGAACAGGCGCACGCCCTCACGACGGATCTGTAATGTAGACGAGAAGAAGATCCAGATTTTACTTGCAGCATTCACTCGTTCATTTTTTAGTAAGACTTTAAATTCAAAAGAGGCTGTATGAGTCGTCTGAGGAGGATGTAGGGGCTGTGACAGAGGTAATGACGGGTCAAAGGTGTACCTTCAAAGAATTCCCAGTGTGCAACAGCTTCTTGAGGATCAGCCCTGAAGAAAGAAACACGTCAGCATTAAATGACAGTAAAATGGCATAAAGCTAGCCAGCTCTAAAACCACCAAAAGCTCATTTTGCACACACTTTTGTTCTGGTGAAACCTCTGTGTTCAGTTGAATACTTGATTCTGATTGGCCAATACGACATACCAGAGGTTTGTTATTTTGTAATAGCAGACCACTGCTAAAGAGGATGCTGCGATCAAGGGACTAAGTGCAGTCATATCAATCCACGAAAAAGAGGTCTTGTCAATTTACATCAGCGGTGGCCCAAAAAAAATAATCTGAAAACTCAGTGGAATACTTTGAAATATTAGTTTTTATATTTGTGGAAAGCAGCTTTGGAATTATGATGGCTAAACTGTCCCAAGTAAAGAAAAAAAAATAGTGCAAGTGAGAAGAGAGGTTAAAAGACAGAGAGCTGGACGTCAGAGAAGTAAACAGTAGAGGAAGACAGACAGGAAGTGAACACTAAAGGGAACACACTATGGGCTCTGGCAGTGTCTAAAGACTGGTTCATGGGAAATAAAATGGACGGACTTGGAAAGTTACACAAAACCTCAATCAGTGCTGCCGACATTTTAAGTAACGCTGCTGTCGCCCCAGTTCCAGTAGTTGGTACGCAGTAGAACAGACTATTTTTCTTAGCAGAAGCAACACAATAATCTTTAAACCAATGAAATCATTTAAAGTGGACCTATCATGCAAAATGCACTTTTGTACGTCTTTTATACATGAATATGTGTCCCCGGTGTTCCAGGGAACTCACCAAGTGTCAGAAAATACAACCCTCTCTCTTTTCCTCCGTACCCGAATCTTTTAAAAACGGGGCTACAACGAGCGGATACATATTCCATCCGACCCGACGTCAGCCCGGATACTGGGCTGTGACGCTCCGCTACATGGCAACTCTCCAACTATCAGGGGAAAGAGGTTGCGTGGCCATTGTAAACAGCATGGTAACAGCATGGTAACATGACACTCGTGCCTCGACCCCTGCATTTGCCACAGAATCAGCCCTTGTGAAGACAGGGCTGGAATAGAGCAAATAGAGCTAAATGAGGCATGGCTAAAATGCATGATCTGTTTGGTATTTTGAAAAAAAAACTTCAGACATGTTTTATATAGGTAAAGCCCTACAATATATTATTCAAATATAGCATGATAGGTCCACTTTAAAATGAATATTGCAGGTCAAACAGTTCATGTCTTTAGCACATAGCTGTGTAATAAGCTTACATAAAACCCATACCAGCACTACTAATCCTTCGGGGGGTCGGGGAAGCTAAGCAACCCGGACAATAATATAACAAACATGCAGGATTACAGGACAACAACAGCGGCACTCTGTTTTCTTCTTCTGCAAAGTAGTTTAGGTTTGTATCTCACATTACATAATATGACCCAAAACTAGTGGACAGGGATCTGATCTGCAGCACACATTCAGTACAGGAGCTCATCTGTAGCGGGTTTGAAAGGGCTGTGGGTGCTTGTGTGCGAGTTACCGATGCTGTGGAACTGCCATCGGCTCTGGATACGCTCTGGCAGGAGCTGGAGGATTTTCTAGAGGAAAAGAAAGATTTTGATGCTAAGGACCATTTTTTTAAGATGACATTTTGTGCCTTTATTACAGAGACAGATTTGAAAGGGGAAGATGGAGAGGATGACTTCAGTGAATGGTCCCTGAGTCGGAATTGATCCTGTGCCCATTATGTAATGTGTTATGAGCGCATTGATTTATTGGTTGCAAAAAATCCATATTAATATATTTGAGTCAGTATAGGATGAAAAAGTATTATTACACGGCTTAGTTAAATACTTAATTCTGATTGGTCAATTTGTTGCATTGCTAACACCACAGTTCAAAATGTTGCTACTAGAACTCACAATTTATAGTGCAAGCAATACGATGATTGTAAAATCAATAATATCATTGATTTATACAGCTATGCTGCAGCTAGCTGGTAATTATATGGAAAGGAAACCCTCGTTGATTTCCCTATGATGACTGGATCACTGTAATTATCCCTTATTTCGTCATTGTAATGTTCTATTTTATTGTCCATCTTTTTCCTAACTAATGCCTCTCAGGGAAAACCTTGAATATTTTGTCCAAGTACTCACTGTACTAGCCCAGCCTTGTTTTGAGTTGTGTGGGTGTTACGACCCGCCCTCTACTCCGTGGTAGTGGACAGAAAAGACAACACTGAGGGGAGCACGTAACAGTGGGGCCAAATGAAGGTCACACATACTGACTGTGCTATCTTATCCCGGCTACTCTACGCTCCACCACCCAGTCCAGTGCAGCTGAATGCCAGCGCTCTCAGTCTGAGGTCAGAGTCAGCTGGTGCTGTGGTACTGACCAACAGGAAGTTAGAAACACTTTCACAAGTCAGAGCTCCGTTCTGAAGTCATGTTGCCTCTTAGAAACAGTCTTCTCTGGATTTCTATTTTGAACACAGTCTACTAGGGGTGTCTCAATCTCTCAAAACAGTCTTCACAACCATAGAATGGTGAAGTGATTACGTTTTTTTGTAGGCCTACCCATAAGTATTATACTATCATAGCAAGGGCTAAGCAGACACAACAGTAAAGGAATGTATCAATATTGCAGAAAAAGGATCTTTGGCTAACAAACGTTTATGACACTTACACTTTTATGTTTTTAGAAGTTTAAATGCAAACACCAGGAGTAAAGAGCTATGGTTAGGCTATAAACAAACTACATCACAGTCACATAGAAATACTTTACCTCGAATATAAAGAGAATTGAGTCCAGTTCCTCCCTCTGAGACTTGTGACCTGAAACACACAGACTAGCTTGAGAACAAAGCACCGTGATCGAGTCTTAATAGCAACAGAACATTGCCTTACTTCTAAAAGCTGACCAATCAGAGTACATCGTGTTGAACGTGGGTAAAACGTACCTTTTTGTTTGAGGCTGACCTCAATGGTGACAAAGTTCTCGAAGAACACATAGTAGATATGCGAGTAGTTCAGGTCGAAGAACTGTTTCAGCTCGGACGGCTCTGCGTTCTCTGGGAAATCAGAGGGGAAATGAAGATGAAAAATAACAAACATTTAGTGAAAAACGCAGGAGAGCACCAAGGTTATCTCCAAACTGCACATTCACTTTGATTCCTCAAGAATCTTTTTTAGTGCTGAAACGGACTCATTCCTCAGATTCGACTGTTAATTGAACAAGCACATCACCCGCTAATGAGTCGTATCTAAAAATGAGTCTTATATAAAAATAAACATTACAAAATAAATCAAATTGACTCATACATGTCTCTCTTCCCTCTCATAGCTGTTTGCAGAAAATGAAATATAGCAAAAAACAGAGGAAAGGGAAACATAATTAAATATGACAAAAGTCTGATACTATTCGATCACTCTTATGACATCATTCTGACAATGTTCTGAAGCTATTATGACTTTAGTCTGACAGATATGTCTAATATGTAAGTAGTGTGATTCTAAAGTCATTACTTAAACCAGTTGAAGGCCCTTCTCTATCCATCTTTAGTCTAAATCATGGGTTTTCAAAGTGTGGGAAGGTGAGCCTCCCCTCAGAGAACATAAGAACAGCCGCGTACCCCCTCCCAATTATTATTGCTATTATTATTATTATTGCTATAATGCAGGGGCATTCAATTGCATTTCAAAGAGGTCCAGTAAGAGAACATGTCATTATGCTCTGTTTTCGCTGTCTACCTTTCGCTCTTTTGAGCACGCCATTTGAAATGACTCCGACTGTTTCTTATGGGCTCAGAACAGTCTCATAATACACACATGCACACAGAAGGATTCACACTTGTGTTTTTCAATGCACATACAAATATGTTCCGTTTCCTATACATGTAAATAAAATCCAAATACAGAAAAAAGTTTNNNNCACACATGGGGTGTTTCTCAATGTCGAGGAAGGCTGCTCCAGAGCCACTATTTCAAGCATACTACGTCATCGAGTGCCGCCGAAGGACTGTTCCAATGTCCAGCATACTTGGAACTCTACCGAGGCCGGCGTACTTCGTAGCGAGAAATTTCGAGGCTGCACATGTGTAGACTCTGCGGTCTTAAAATCCCCACAATGCTTTGCGCACGGACCAATTTCCAAACCTTTGGCGGAAATAGCGCTCCATTTAAGGCGGGGCCTCGCATATGACGCACACCTGTTAGCCCTGTTCCACAATTCTTCGTTTTCCGAGGCAAGGAAGGATTCTTGCCTCGCTTCTGAAGCAAGTGACTCGGAAGACATCTGCTACAAAGCAATGGTCCTCGACATTGAGAAACACCCATGCTGTCCAGTACAGGTTAGCTCTGAGTGTTAGCGATGCTAATGTAAACACCGACCATATTACGTAGAAAACAGTCAGGCATTGTTTCTGATAGCAACTTTCTGATAGTGCTGTGGGTCCACATTTCAGATATTACGTCATATCGGACGCAAATCTGGATCAGCTCTGTTGTACCCCTGTTTTTAGAGATTTGGGTAAGGAGGAAAAGAGAGAGGGTTTTATTTTCTGACGCTGCGTGAGTTCCCTGACACACCGGGGACACATATTTATGTATAAAAGACATCAAAAAGTGCATTTAGCATGATAGGTCCCCTTTAAATTAATAGTTCAATACCTTCGGAAATAGGCATATTAACCTTTTTTGAAAAAAGTCTGTTGATATCAATCAGCAAGAAAGACAGGTTCAGTGAATATTTGAGGTAAAATAAGTGTTGAACTCTTTGTATACCGATGCATGAAAAGACACATTATCCCCAATGGCACCTATTTATTCTTAAGACAAATCTACAGAAGAAAAAAAAACTGGTTTGCAACATTGCACTGCTTTTCGTTTAGCAAGAGATGAAAAATGAAATGTTCCGAATCATTCTAATAATAGACTTTGAAGATGGCCTACTCTGTACCCTGCTATGCCAAAATTCATACTAGGAGAAGTAGTGAAATGAAGGAGACGATATGGCAGCACTGCATGTTGATTAACATGGTAAGACTCCGAAATGTAGTCAGATTTGAACAAAAAGACAGAGGGAATGAGCTCTATGTGTTAGCCTGCAGCGGATAAGTGTGTGGCCAAACCAGTCTCCTATTACAAGAGTATGATCTAATCTATTTGTCTGTATTTTCTAAACTAGTTGCTGGTGAACCATCCTGCCAACACCACTCAAGCCCCACAAACTTTAGCTGTACACTGCACTTAAAAGGCTAATTGTACCTCATGGTTTGGATAGATGAATGCAGCCCTAATAGGCCTTTAAGTGCACTAATTGCTGATGAGAACGTACTGTCATCACAAAACTGCATACTAAAACTCATCCTCCTTACCTCTAATGTTACTGAGATAGGTTTGTGAGGGACATTACACAGAACTGTCCATTCAGGACGCAAAATTATAGATCCTACTATGGGGAACGCATGACATATCATGTATTTGTCTTTGCTATGTGTATAATTGTCATGTTCTTAAATGTTTTATGTGAGGGACTGCGGATGGAAATGAGCTCCAAGCAAAAAATCCGGCATATTTACACTATTTGCATTTTCTTGTTTTAAAGGTAGAGTAGGTCATTTTGGAGAAACCAGCTCGAGTGCGCTAGAATTTGAAAATAAACGACTGGAAAAAATCTGCCCCTTCCTTCAGACTTCCTTACAGAGCCCCTCCTCCAACACACACGAACGTGCACATGACCAATGAGGGCACGAGATAAGTTTGTGCACAGATGGAAGGCTGACAGGCAGGTAGGCCATCCAGTTACTTTAGCCGGGCCGGCTCAGATGATTGGTCGTGCTTTTTACAGCGCTACGGCTTCCACAGATGAAATGTTTTTATGTATTTATTGTCAAAGCATTTAATGTATTCATTGCTATCGGGATGTTAAGAGCATTCCATGGAATATAACAAAAAGTGTTTCTGAAGTGAATTACCTACCCTACCT